ATTATTATTATTTATCATTTAAGTAACTTAATTTATTCTTCATTAGAACAAAAAACTATTAACTATTTCATAATAATTAAACCAAAAAAAATATAATAATCTTTCATGTTATAAAATTATTCATAATTCACACATCTAATAGATATTATTAGCCCATGCCATCAACACCTTACGGCCTCACAATGCAAATTACAATTTTAAGTAGGCAGTCGATCTCATGACTAATGACTCACCAGTCACCAGGCATTACTTATTATTGAATTATATTGTAATCTATAATTCACTAAAATGAGTTAAGAGATTATGGAGGATTATTTTTTATTGTATAATTCAAAATAAAAAAAATACAATTCAAAATAAAAGAAAAGAAAAAATCTTCCATGCCTTTAATTGATTCTTCTTAACTTACTACTAAGTTGCTTGGATTAGTTTTTTTTTTATTTTATCTTGGTTGCATAATGAAAGGTAACTATCTTTCATCTCTTATCTCACTTTATCTATATATCATGCGATTCGTACTTAATATCTCTTACTTTTAGCAAAAAGAGATAATTACTGAACTACTTAGGTCGTTGGCATTTGAATTAGTTTTTTTGAAATAGTTAATAACTAATAACTGATATTTAACAATTAATAATTCTTAATATTTATAATTTGAAATATTTAATTTATTTAATTAAAACAAACAGTTAGATAACTATTTTTAAAAGTTCGAACCCAACGCTGCTCACCCCAATTTAAGGTGATTAGGGCTTAGACCCAGTGAAGGCCAACTAACCCAACTTAATTTACTAACCAACCCAACTTTTCTTGGGCTGGACTCCAATTTGCATCCCCATGCACTGTGTGTATCTGGTTTGCCATCCAAATTCCAAAATCCATCTTCTTTTTGAGAAAAAGGAAAAATCCAGGAAAATTTCGAATCATTATCTGTAGATCTGTGTTGGTTCTTGATCTGATCCCGTCTCAGAACCAGGTTTTGGCATCAAATGAGTGTGCTGTCGGTGAAACCACTGTTCGTCGTCATCTCCGGTCTGTCCCTCTTCCTTGCCCTCGTTCTGCTCTTTCCGTCGACGCTGTTTCTACAGCCGCCGATTTCCTCTGGTTCAACGCCGTAAGTGAATCCGTTGGTCTTGTTACGATCTCAACTGTTTTCTATGTATAGCTTTATCTTTCTGTTGAGGATTGAATTCAATGGATTCTGTGGTATGATTTGTTGAGTGCAGTAGTAGACAGGATATATGGAGCGTTCGGAGGATAGCAGAGTGGAGACCTTGCAAATGGTGGCTTCAAGGACATTTAACTCGTAAGGCGCCCTATATTCCTTCTTACTTTTGAAACGTTGTATGCACACATCTAGGAGAATTTTTGTTTTCCAGTTGCTTGGTAGGAAATAGGTGTATAGAGTTCATTTGGGATTTTACTGACTGATGAATTTGAATTAACTCGAAAAGATTGTCATTTAGAAGAAGCTTCTTCCATCCCTTGTTATAAAAGAAACTGACACCTGTTTATCTCAGATTTCTGTTCCCTTAATAGGGAAGAAAAGAGATTAGCATACGATAGCTTGTTTGAACTTTGAACAATTCCAAGCTTGGAAGTTTCTTGTGAAATATTGGTATTAATTAAAAAATTCTTTATTTATTAGATTTTATGGCTTAAATTGTGTTTCTATTGGCTTCATGTAAGATTTGGGATAACTATGAAACTGGGGTAAACAATGAATTTTTGTTTAGGGGTGAGAAAAGAGTTTAGAGTGGGTTAAGGAGTTTGGTGGTTTTTTGGTCTTCTGAGTTGCGTTTAATGGCTTTCATTGCAGACAATTGCATTGGTTTTTTTGTTGAAATCCTGCAGCTCTTCCAGCTGAGAGTAATGGGTATATTCGTGTGGATTGCTATGGTGGACTCAATCAAATGAGAAGAGACGTGAGTGTCCAGTGATTGCTGTTCTCTCAGCTTTATTGAAATTACCTCAGTTTTGATGGATGTTTTAGTAAAAATGGTGTATTGTTTATTATGAGTGCAGTTCTGTGATGGGGTTGGCATTGCCCGTTTGCTAAATGCTACACTTGTATTGCCAAAGTTTGAGGTAGCTGCTTATTGGAATGAATCAAGGTGCTTTTTCATTATGTTTATCAATTAGACAGCTAGAGTAGCATTTCTTGGAATTCTTGTCAGTGATTATAATGTATAATCACTTGCTAAGATCTTTTAACAAATTAATTAGAAGAATGGAATGACAAAATAATACTAAATAATCAATTTAAATTATAATTTTGAAACGTAGTGAAACAGTTTTGAAAGTGTGCATAGGCTCCAGGAAGTTGTACTATCGGTTTGCTTTCAAGTTTCAATGCATAATAGATACCTTGACTCAAAGTCTCAAGCTATGTTTGTTATTATAATGTTAACATAGATACCAAAGAGTCATAATAGGTAATAATCATAGCACTCATCTTCATTCAAAATATTTACTGTAAAGTAAAATGAGGAAATTAAACTAAAACAATCAATTAGCTCAGAGAAAAAAATATCATCAAAGAACAACTTCTAAATTATTCTAAATTATTTGGTAACTTCTGTTGTTGTCTGCTGGAGATATGGAGTTTTTTAATGTTTATTGAAGTTATTATGCTGCTGGTTTATTTTATTTTATTTTGATTTTTTATATGATTTTGAGCTAAACTCAATCTCAGTCATTCCAAATTTCTTGTAATTTGCCATCATTTGGGCTGGTGCATCCTACTTTGAGTAGAATAAGGGATTTAATCCTGTGTATTAGATCATTTTACCATGGTGGTCTTATAAGTTATAATTCTTTACCATTCTGATTTTGATTGTAAAACTTGTGGATATTTGAGTATTGGCACTTTTTATGGCTTCATTTTCTATAATTTTTGTTGTCTATACCCTGAACCTGATTATGTCCCTTGCTGTTGTGAAAAACTTCTTAAATTATATTACATTTAAGTGATAGTATTCATGAGATGAGCATAATTTGAGACATTAATTTGATGGTTAGGTTAGTGATTTCTTTCCCTCTTTTTTGAAATAATTAGGCTAAGGATGTCCAAATTACTGCCATTTCTTTCTCTCTTTTTTTTTTCCCCCATAGATGTTACCTTTTTATATATTTTTTCCCTCTCACCAGTGGCTTTGCAGATGTATTCGATGTCAATTACTTTATTCAACAGATGAATGGTTTTGTCAAAGTTGTCAGAGAATTGCCGCCAGAGATTTCATCAAAGGAACCCTTTCCAGTAGATTGTAGTAAACGGAAAGGTCAATTTGATTACATTGAAAGTATTCTGCCATCCTTGTTGGAACATCGATATATTTCATTCACACCAGCAATGAGCCAAAGAAGGGATAGGTATTTGCTTTATTTTAAAATTTTCTCGTCTCTCAGCTGTGCAAAAGCTTTATGCCACTGATGAGGACTTCTTTTCTGTTATCTTTCAAAAATTTCATAGGTACCCTCAGTATGCCAAAGCCGCCCTGTGTCAAGCCTGTTACAGTGCACTACATCTCACTAAAACCCTGCAGAAGAAGGCTATTCAGCTTCTGGAAGCCATACCTAAACCTTTTCTCTCTCTTCATCTTCGCTTCGAACCTGACATGGTAGCTTACAGCCAGTGCCAGTATTCCGGGCTCTCCCCCATCTCCATGAAATCCATTGAAGCAGCACGTGGAGATAGAAAACCATGGACTGGAGAAGCAGCTAGAATCTGGAGAAAACGAGGAAAATGTCCTCTCACTCCTAATGAAACAGCTCTTATATTTCAAGCACTCTCTATTCCAGCAGACACAAACATATATTTGTCTGCTGGGGATGGTCTAATGGAAATAGAGGGGTTTACATCTGTTTATAAGAATGTTTATACCAAGTCTGCCCTCCTCACTGGTGAGGATTTCAAGAGCATGCATGGCAACACAAAAGCTGCACTGGATTATTACGTATCCATTAATAGTGATTCATATGTGGCTACATATTTTGGAAACATGGATAAGATGGTGGCAGCAATGCGAGCCTTTGGAGGGTTGTATAAGACTCTTTTCTTAAGCAGAAGGGCTTTTGCAGAGTTAACTTATGAAGGATTGAGTGGAAAGGAACTGATGGAAGCCTTATGGAAGGTTCACAGAGACGATTTTGTGGCGGGAAGGGGTTCTGCTTTGCCAGATTGCTTTTGTGAATTCAAGCTGTAGTTTCACCCCCCATTTTTTCCTGTTACATTGTGGTGGAAATTTTGAGGTATTCTTTTTTCATGCGGTGTTCCGAATCAGAATTGCTTCAATTCTTGTAACTTGTAGCAAGATTGGAACCCTTTTTGTTTGGTGGGATTGAGACCCATCTTGTCTGAGATTTCCTCCAATCTTGGAAAACACTTATAATATGCTTTTAAGTTCAAGTGCTATAATATAATTTTGAATTTATCTAAATTGCATTCATTTTTGTCCAAATTGTATAGTAAAACTAAAGCTTCCTGGGAATGCTTTATATAGATTTTTTTTACAGTGTATTTTATCTAAAGATAAACTATTATTATTATTATATATATTTTAATTTTAAACAAAGAAAAACTACAACCACAACTACCACCATGGCCTAACCAAGCATTAGAAGTCACATATTCAATCTTCCAGATGGACAATGACAACAAAATAATCCACCTTCGCTTGAAAAGCGATCCTGGCTTGAAAAATGAAGTCATAGCCTGTTCTAGAAGCATCCGATTCTCATAAGGGCATATAGCACAAAAGGAGCCTTATTCACATTTCCAGAAACGACATGCCATAGCCGAATCTCCCCAAAAAATTGTATGGAGGATTAGCTGCTAATTCTAGGTACGTATTCTGTCTTCTAGATACGAATTTTGCATTTGCAATAAGCAACGTCCGAGCTAAGATTTAACATACGCATCCTTGCAAGCAACTTGAAATAACCAAATATGCTTTTGGCCCCATGTCTAATCTCCAACCACTTACATACTTTTAGGGTCTAAAACAGTAGTCTTCCAATCTGAAAAAAGCAAACACGCAAACATTAACTTATTCTTCCAAGTTTTGTGATCCTGAAAATTACTGCATTAAGCTGACATAAAAAATGTTATGCAAAGCATAGCTATCACATGATTCTCTGCTACCATTACCTTTTCATTCTAGTTTCTGGCTGAAAAGGTCAGGAACTACTAAAGCGGAATGATTCAAGGGAAAATATAAATGAACCTTCCTACCTTTAAATCTGTACTGGATAAGGCATGCAATGGCACTCTTCATCTGGGCAATTATGATGATAGCTCTAACAAGCAGAGAAGCCTTCTTTGTCCATGGAGATATCGGTTCTGCAACATCCTATGGCCCTCCTTATATACGTGAGTATACATGCATACATACACACCAGTTTTTCCTTCATTTTCTTTTCATCATATTTTTCCTTGGAAGAACAGTTCAAAACCTGCAAGAAAGATAAAAATCTTGCATCAATATCTGCAGCTACTAGATGTGGTGGTAACAGAGAAGATCAGTTCCCACCTGGGAATCTGTTTGTTGCTGTGAGTGATGGCTTGTGGGACAATGGAGCAGCTTGTGGAAGGAGATACAGAGTCAGATGTTTGAGTGGACCAAATAAGCCTTGCAGACACAAAACCATTGAAGTAAAGGTTGTGGATTTTTGCCCCATAACACCATGCCCATCAACCATTGTTCTCTCAAAAGAATCTTTTGCAGCTGTTGCTCGCCAAGATGCAAGAAAAATTAATGTTGAATATATACAGTATGTACCTTCTCCATCCTGATGAGAATATGTAAATTTTATGTCAAATATCTGGTTTTTGCCTCTGAATTTTAACAATGACAACATGTTGCATGCAGGGTTTGAGCTGAAGGAGTACCACAATCAATGTCATGATGGAGAAAAAATTAAGACTAATTATTATATTCTTTTGTTGATATACATAAAGAATAAAACAATTGCAGGTTGTAAAATAGAGTGTGTACAATTCTTTATAAAGTTAGGTTGTAAAATAGAGTGTGTACAATTCATTATAAAGTAGCAATAAAAATCATTTGCTAGGTCATATTGTCACAAACCACATAGGATCCAGATTCTTGTAATCTCCAATATTCTTAATATTATGAATGGGAGCTTAGGTTTATGACATAATAAATAATGAGTTTTCAAGTTATCACTGAGAATGGATTTCTTCCGAAGTCTCAGGTTCCACAACTCAAAACTTTGGCTAAACCAAGAACTTCAATTTTCTAAGGAAAAGAACCAGAAGGCAAAGCAATTTATTGAAATAAGTTAGAAAACAAGAGACACCTAACCAGTTCATTTCTCAGGTTATTGGGGTTCTTTAAGAGTTTAAGTTGTCCTGCAAAAGAGCCAGATCCAGAGCTCTCACAAGCCAAAATACCCAGCCACATAGCTTTCTAACTATGTCACAACTTAAAAAAGGGAATGAATATGCATTTTCCCAACTCAGATAAAGTTTCCAAAGTTCAAAGTTTCAAACAATTGGAAACCATAAAGTGAAGTTTATTTAATGCTGAAGCTGATTCTACAATGCAGATTTAAACAAATATACAACCTGCTCCAAGTTCTTCATGCACCTAATTCTGCCAGCTTTGAAAGTTTGTGTATATTTGGGACCTAATACCAACTAAAACAATATACATACCATAATTTTCATGTTCCAATTTCTTCAAGAGACTGAATACTTGTACAGAATCTAATACTTTTATCTGCTTATTTAGTTAGGAAAAAGTGTTGTGCAGTCCGGACTGTACCAGACTGCACAACACTAACCATTAGAAGGGGGTTGGGCCCCTGATATTGGGGGCCCTCCTCCCATCCAATGATCCTTGTTTTACAGTCCGCTGCAGTCTGGACTGTATAACAGGGTTCCCATTTAGTTAATGAAATTAATACAACACTTACCTTGCAGTTAGACGCATTGAATTCCAAGAACTCTGATGAAGAAGAGCAGGCAACTACTTCAATGTTCTGTAATATGAATGTCATATTAGTGAACATTTTTCTTAATATAGTCATATTAGAAGTCAACTAAAGAAACACCATTTACATACCTCCAAAGCAGAGTCACTCGTGCTTTAGTTTCTTGTTGCTGTGCGCGATAGCTCATGGATTTGATACAATTAAATTATAGCTGATGTGTACATAGATACACTTTAACGGCATTCAACTGACTGAAAAATTGGCATAGAGTGAAATTTGACCATAATCAGAGGCAGCCATCTCTGATCCTTTTTATTGTCCAACCTTCTATGAAGATGAAATTAAACCAGGGAATATGTAGAAGGTATTATGTTTCTCAAACACTTCTCCACAGACTCATCAAAACTAATCGGTTGAGATATAAAGAAGTCAGCAGTTAAACCCCCATTCCTTTGTCATTTCATAAATTCATTAATTCCCTGATGAAGCCCACAAAAGATGATCCTCTTCTTTCTTGTTGAGCCCAGATGGGGTATTTTACTTGGAAAATCCCTCACTCTATTTTGCTGAGACTTTGAGATTGTCCTCTTTTTGGTTTAGGGACGTGCAATCATCAATCAAGCTCTGCAAAATAATTGATGCCTCAGAAATTACTCCTTGACGCAGGTGCTTGTGTATAATCTCCAAGTACTTCAAAGCAGTTTGAAGTTCTTGTTCATTGAAATTGTTGGAAAAGATATTCCTCCATGCTTTTGATCTTCCCTCTAAGCAAACACCATGTAGCAAGGCAGCAAAAGAGACAGGATCTAGAATGAAACCTTTACTCATTATCTTATCCTGCAACTGGAAAGCAATTTTCACCATTCCAGTTTGGCAAAGGCAGATCAAGATAGAGTTATAAGCAGCAGCTGTTTGAGACCATCCATCAGAAATCATCAGGCTGAAAGATTCCAGAAACAAAGATTTCCCTTTATGTAGAGATATTGCACTTGGGTCACTATTTGTGAATCCATTTACCAAGTAATTGAAAGTAGCATCATTGGGAATGCAATTTTTAGTTAGCATCAACTCAAAAAAGGATGCTGCTTTTGAAAGTTTACCTTCCTTGCAAAAGCTCCCAATTAATATAGTGTAAGTGACTACATTAGGTTCCAAACCACTGGTCTGCATTGTCTTAAAAGCCTTTTCAGCCCTACTGGACTCTCCTCCACGGCAAAATCCATTAATAAGAGAGGTGTAAGTCACCACATTTGGCTGGCATTTTCGTTTGACCATCTGCCCCAATATTGTTAGTGCACCATTGATATTTTGCTGCTTTACATACCCATCTATAATTGTAGAATAAGTGAAATCATCTGGGTAGAGATGCCCTTCTATCATTCTATTGACACATAAAAGAGCATCCTTCATTTTACCAAATTTGCAGAAACCCTTAATCATGGCATTGTATCCCACGTTGCCAGGATCCATATCTTCTTCAATCATGACTTGAAAGAATTTTTTTGCCTCCTCAAGGTCACCATTCCTGATGAACCCATCTACTAGAGTGGCATAAACATATGCATCAGGTTGTACATTTTGGTCTAGCATCTCAGCGAGAAGGACCTTAGCAGCAGGAAATCTCCCTTTCTTGCAAAGTCCATTCATCAAAACATTATATATAGCAGCATCAGGCAACATTCCTCTTTCAATCATTTTGTCTTTCATTTTCAATGCAGCATCCACTTCTCCTTTAGATATAAATCCATGGAGAAGAGCTCCATAAGCAATTAAATCAGGTTTATGCCCTCTTTCTGTCATCTCAATAAGCAAATCTGAGGCCCTTATTAAATTTCCTTGTCTGCAGTAGACATGTATGAGAGGAGTGTAACTGAATTTATTCGGCTTCAATCCCCTTATTATTGCCTCTTCCAGAAGTTGATCAGCCTCCTGATTCTTTCCTTCTCTACAAGAACCACATATTAAAGTGTTATAGGTAACAATATCAGGTTCACAACCACTCTTGGTCATCCACATTATAGTCTCCATAGCTGGAACTTTAAAAGCATGCCTATATCGAGCATCAATGATATTATTATAAACTTGAACATTAACACCCAAACCCCTCTCTCTCATTTCCAACAAAAGCTTATCAACTGCCTCAAACTTCCCTTTCTTACAAAACCCATTTATCATAGCTCCATATGTCTCCAATGTAGGCAAAAATCCCATCATTTTAAGCTCCTTAAAAAGCTTAGTAGCATTCTCAATGTCGCCTTTCTTGGAATACCCATCAATGAGTGTGTTGTAGAACAGAATATTTGGCACGCACCCCTCTCCCCATCTATCCTCAATCAGCTTCTTACCCTCCTCAACCTTCCCTTCTCTACACAAACCCCTCATCATTATGCAAACACTATAATTATCAAAACCATCTCTCTTAATCATTTCGTCGAACAAGTTACGTGCAACATCAACCCGCCAACATTTCACTAACGCATGGAGCAAAGAATTACAGGCAAATACATCAGGCACACAATTCTGAATCTTAACCATGAAATGGTACAATTCAACAGCTTTATTAACCAAACCAGAATCTGCATACACGCGAATAACAAAGCTCAAAGCTTCCTGAGTAGGCTTTATATCTTCCATTTTCATGTTCTCTAACACAACTTCAATCTCCGGAAACACCTTAAACCTCGCTAAGAGTCTCAAGAAAGAAGAATATGCAAGTCTATTAACAGCCAAACTTTTTCGGTGTTGTCCGGAGACCCAATCAAAGAACTTGACACCCAATTCAACGTCATACAGTCGATCAAGCACAAAGTGGGCAATCTCTGAAACGCCGGTTTCCTCATCATAGAAACGAATCTCGAGAGATTCTGGCCATTTTCGATCGGTTTTGAGGATTTCAACGGTTTCATTGACGAGATTTTTGAGCTGGGGAGTTGAAGGAATTGAAGAAGGGGATTTTCGTTTTGGGTTGTGAAGAGGCTTGATGCGGGAGAGAAGGTTTCTGGACATGGCAGATTGAAGCCAAAAAAAGCAGAGACCTGGTTTGCGTTTCGTGGGTTTATGGGAGGTTTATTCATTTGGAGTCTTTACCTTCAATCGGCGATGAGTTTGAGAAACATGAACATCAGAGTCATCCACTTCTCCGCCCGCATAACCCATTTATTATTTTACTCATAATAATCGTATTTTTATGTTAAAAAAAAATTAAAGGCGGGTTCTTTAGTTAGGTTTATTTATTTTGAGTTTACCTAATAAGATACAAATTAAAAATTTATTAAATATTTTTTTATTTTAAATTTATATTAAAAATATAAAAATTAAAATTTAATATATAATTATTTAATTAAATTTGTTTATTTGATATTAATATTAAAATTAATATTAATTTTTATATTTTTTAATATCTATTTATTTATTATAAAAAATACTTTTAATTTGTATCTTTAAAGATTTGGATTAGGATTCGGATTAGGAAAACTCATTTATTTTTGATGATGTGTTTTATTATTTTAAAATAAATTACTTATTGTAAGGTACAAAGTGCATGAAGATACTTTGCCTTGCTCTTGACTACTACAAGCACACTTGTTTCCTAGTCGAGGTAAAACTACTAAAAGTATCTTTCACGAGTTCACTTAACTAGGTAAAACTACTAAAAATATTTTTTAGGAGTTCATTAGACTGCAAAATAGGTGCTGTTAAATGAGAAGGCAGTCTCCAATAAAAAAAGTTATCATCTTGTATAATGGTAAATGTTGTACTCTTAATAACACTTGTTTTGACCTTTCAAGCTCTCCTCTATTTTAATTAAATCACATACCACATAAATATTTATAATTGGTTGTAGCCTTCAACTTTGGATATGTTAATTTTAACTATTACCTCTAACTAGTAACTACTAAATAAAAAAAGTTTCAGTTGACTTGAATTAGAAGTGTGTCTTAATTGTCCAAGAGTTAGAGAGGGCTTAATTGAGAAACATCGAAAAGTTTTGGGCATTATGATGAAGATTTTCTTTTCTCTATGTTTTAAACTTCGATTTTCTAAGATCATATCAAACTTCAATCCATTGAGAAATAAGAGGTAGCCCCAAAATCCATAAAATTATAGAATAAAACAGAGTTGCTGAGGCCTGTAATACATAATCAACTTCGGTGCTTTAAATTTATCCAATTATGATTTAAGTTTTTTTGAGTCTACACGTAGAGGAGAAAAACTTGGAAAGTTCTTCAGAGTCGAGCAAACTCAGCTATTGCTTCATCTTTAGTCCATGGAAGTAATAATCAGCAACCCCAATGCACCAATGAGAATATACTGCAATGGTAACTGATCTGGAGACGTGAACTGCATGAATGGGAAGCAGTGGCAAGGGAACAATTACTGCAAGGCTTGGACTCGGTCAAGTTACAGCAAGGAGCTAAAGACAGCTGGAGTTGGATACACACCAAGGATGAATTCTATACAGCCAAATCGAGATATCAACCTCTAACATCCATCCAAGACTGCAATCGCAGACATGAATTTGATAGAGTTTGGAATAACTCCGTTCCATCAAAGATTTGTGGGTTTTTTTGGCAACTTCTACTTGACAAAATTCCCACTAAGGTGAACCTATTCGAAAGGGGCATAATCACACAAGCCCATGAGTTGATTTGCTGTATATGTAATGAGCATGTTGAAGACAGAGATCATCTATTTTTGAAGTGCAAAATCGTGGATGAAGTCTGGGATAAGTGTTATAAATGGTGGAATTTGCAGAAAAAGAATGCTGACAATTGCTGGGAGGCATTCGTGAAGCATGCAGATTCTCCACCATATCCAAGTATGAAGAAGGGATGTGAAGCTATTTGGTTCTCACTGGTATGCACAGTATGGCTAACCAGGAATGGAAAGCTGTTTAACAAAGAGGAGGCTGATACTGCAAGGATGTTTGATTTAATTCAAACAAGAGCCTTCCTGTGGGTAGGGAACAGAGGAAAAGGCAAGAATTGCTTATTTTCAGATTGGATTATTAACCCCAACTTGTGCAGATTTTAATTTGCCTCTTTTTGTTAGTGGGGTTTGTATTTTGTACTAAAATGTTTTAAGGGTTTGAGTATCCCTCATGCTCACTACTAATAAAATTTTTTGCCTTTCAAAAAAAAAGAGAGAATATACTACAAGAAAGGCCCAGAGGTAAGTTCTTATCCAGAAAAAGAAATCCCATATGTCACCAATGTATCATAGTCATAATTCAAAAACAAAAAGTACGAAGATGTATAGTGGAAAAAAGGGGAGAAAATCTAGGAGCAGGGAGTAATGCAAAATCACAGATAGGAGTTGTGCAAATGAAAAGGGTCCACATTTTGTGTACTTGAATATTAGATTTTCATATAAGAGCAACATATTTTGAAGTAAACAAACCTTGATGATGGGCTTTTCGGTCATATGATAATTGTCACCCAACCAACATAGGGTAAGAACCTGCAAATCACAAAAGTTAACAATATGAGGAACTTTTCTCTTCTGAGAAAGAGCTCAAACTCTTGTTTACTTGAAACAAGTGAAGATTTATTTAGACAGAACGCATGCAAGAAAGAAAAAGTACAAATTGAAATTAATTTTCAGTCTTGAATTCTGTGGTAGGGTTGAGCTCAACTCAAGTGTAAAACAGGCTCCCATAACCTTTAAGGAGAAATGGTATTTGTAATTAGCAAGCCAAGAGAGAAAGGAGGCAATCCCCAATCCCTCAACCACACACTGGGGTTTGGGGTTCAATATTTCCTGGGTTCATTTTAATTTCCATTAAATCTCAAGAGGACAATATCAATTCAAGATTTCAAGTTGACAGTTTAGGATTTTTAATAAACAACATCCCCCACATATAGGAAAAATGAAAGTAAAATGGAAAGTGCTCCCCTCGTTCTAATGTTCCAGTTTTAAAAGAAAAAAAATATGTGCCCACACTAATGTTACATGCTTGATATGTAACTGTTTGCATATACGTGAGCAAGTTAATTCTCCAGAAATATTATGATTTTCCAACATGGACAGGCACAACCGACAACAACAGAAAAATGTTATTGTTGACTAGGACAACTTTTAAATCAAA